TATACCCAACATGGGGCTCAAACTCACGACCCTGAGATGAAGAGTTTGTGCTCTTCAGACTGAGCCAGCCAGGTACCCAAAGATCACCATGCTTTGCTTGGGCTGTTTCTCTTTGGATTTTGTTATTGAAATGGAATGTGTCTACAGATGAAAAACCAGAGCCATCATAGGGTTTCCTCATTTGTATCCCTTCTCTCAGCAGTCAGAAATCAAGTACTGTGGTAGAGTGCCTGAAAAGAATTATTTCGTAGGTTTTATCTAGTTTTCTAGATTATTGTAGATGTAAAAGTCTATACCACTTACTTCATGATCTGAAGCAGAAAGCCCCTAACCAAAGACCAGGACATCTAGCCCATACATACCAATACCTGCATATTTGTAGATTTTGAAAATAAATTTATTTATTTATTTTTAAATTTTTATTTATTTATGATAGTCACAGAGAGAGAGAGAGAGAGAGAGAGAGAGAGAGAGGCAGAGACACAGGCAGAGGGAGAAGCAGGCTCCATGCACCAGGAGCCCGATGTGGGATTCGATCCTGGGTCTCCAGGATCGCGCCCTGGGCCAAAGGCAGGCGCCAAACCTCTGCGCCACCCAGGGATCCCTGAAAATAAATTTAAAAGGTAGTTTGAATATGTTTAACCTTTAAAATTATTTTAAAGCCATTTTTTAGTTTTGGTGTTTGGATTTTTTATGTAAACTAATATTTATTTTAGTCAATTCAATTATATTTAGGAACCATCAGCCTAAATGTTGAAAAGAACTTGTGAAGTTTCTTATAGTTAGCATAGTTTAAACTAAAATGTCAAGGTACAGGCTAAATGGACTCTTGAGAATGAACAAAGGACAAGAAGCAGAGTTATTTGTGTCCATTTTGCTGGGAACCACCACATCTGCCTCTAAGGCTGAGTAATCATGACTTATTAGTGTGGTTATGGAAAGTATATATCAGTTTAGTTGTGTGAATGAACTGTCCTTTCTTTAGGGGAAAAATTCTCATCGGATTGCTGAAATTTTCCTTTTTTAGAATTACTTAAAATTGAAACTATGAATAAGTCTTTTATCTTGTTGGATAATGTGTTTGATCTGTTGAGGTACATACTTTATCTATTATATTTATAGAATAGAAATGTAATTTTGTCTTTCCTGTGTATCCCAGAAATCTTACTAGTTTGGCATCCAGGACAGTTTAATTTTTGTTCACTTAGAGTTCATTTCTAGAGTTGAGGTGTAGTTCCTACATCTTACAGAAGACAATTGTGTGGGGGTAATTTGGACAAACCCTTCACTTTCTGGTTTTACTTACTGGTATCACATTTTTCTTTGTGTTTTCAAACATCACAGGTGGAAGTTACAACTTTTTTTTCTTTTAATTGCATCTGATACTTAGTTATGTGTACAGTAAGAAATTTTTCACTAATTCAATTATTTTGAATTCCACAAACTTTAAACTTTTGTAAATTTATTTTTTTAAAGATTTTATTTATTTATTTGAGAGAGAACACACCAGGGAGGGGCGGAGGGAAAAGCAGACTTCCTGCTTAGCTGGACTTGGACACTTGCTCTCAGGACTCCTCCAGGATCACAACGTGAGCTTAAGGCAGATGCTTAACTGACTGAGACACCCAGGTGCTCCTAAACTATTTTTTTTTTAATGAATCACAAACTAATCCTTTTTCCCCCCAGCTATGAAATCTCTTATGCATGTAGTATTCAAAGAAGCAGTTGTGAATTTCGTGGTTAATCATAATTTTTAAGGAAAATATGACTACTCAAAAGTGTTTATGTACTTATTTTTTAAATGTAAATATTACTGTTCTTGGATTTCTGAATTAAAACTCAAGAAAAAAGGAACAGACTAAAAATTTACATAGAATTTTTTGGTCCAGAAAAAACTAGTAATTAATTAATTCAGTGCTAAGTGTAGAACTTCATTTTTTAGATTTTATTTAAACAAATAATTGCATATAGGGAGAAATGTAGCTTAGATTTATGAATATATTTTTCATATTAATCTGCAACAGAAAGTTTTATTTTAAATCACTTTTTATCTTGATAGCAATAGTTCTTTAATGCTTTATTTTCATTATTGCATCCTGTGCACATTTGTCTTTGAACCACAAATTCTTTTTTTTTTTTTAACTTTATTTATTTGAGAGCTCACAAGCACACAAGTGTGGGGGGAGGGACAGAGGAAGAAGGAGAAAGAGAATCTTTTTCTTTTTAAAGATTTTATTTAGGGTAGCCCCGGTGGCTCAGCAGTTTAGCGCCACCTTCAGCCCGGGGCGTGATCCTGGAGTCCCAGGATTGAGTCCCACGTCAGGCTCCCTGCATGGAGCCTGCTTCTCCCTCTGCCTGTGTCTCTGCCTCTCTCTCTAAGTCTCTCATTAATAAATGAATAAAATCTTTTAAAAAATCATTTTAAAAAAATAAATATTTTATTTATTTGAGAGAGTGAGTGAGAGAGAGCACAAGCAGGGGGAGGGACAGAGACAGAAGGAGAAGCAGACTCCCCAGTGAGCAGGGAGACCAATTCAAGGCTTCATCCTGGGATTCCAGGATCATGACCTGAACTGAAGGCAGAGGCTGAACTGACTGACCTACCAAGGCACCCTGGAGAAAGAATCTTTAGCAGGGAGCAGACTCCCCACTGAATATGGAGTCTGACACGGGATTCAATCTCACAACCCCAAGATCACGTCCTGAAGTCAAGATGCTTAACTGACTGAGTCACCCAGGTGCCCATGAACCACAAATTCTTTTACCTTATAATTTAAAAAGGCTCTCATATCTACCGAGACCACTTTATGTGTATGTGTATAGAAAGAGTGTGAAAGAATAAAATGTATATTTTCTACATATGTAACATATAATTTCATGTTATATTATTCATAATACTGTATGTTAAAATTTTTTAATATATTATTCTATAAAATTTTATTCTACAGATATAGTATTTTTCATCATAATAACTAATGGCTAGTACATTTTAAGGGCTTATTCTAAGCTGAGTACTTTTTATGAATTGACTGATTTTAAACTTTACAATATTCCCAGAATGAAGGTTCTGAAGATATTTGATTTCCATTTTATAGATTAGGAAAGCAAGACTCAGAAGATACATGGCAGAGGCCAGAACCAGAACCAGAACATCTAGCTCTAGAAGTTATGCTATGGCCACTGTGTCTACAGTATGCTTTACCTCTGTGTGTTAGAGCAACATGTTAAGGATGTCCAGGGTTTAGCTCTGACACCTCATGAGAACTTTGGAAATTATTGTTAGAGTTTATTGACATATTTGATTATATTTAGAATTTTGAACTTTGGACCTGATGTCCCAGGAATTTATATTTTTAATAAACTCCCTAATTAGTTCTTATGCATACCCCTTGCCTTGGCATTCATGTGCACTTGGGAACCATTGTATCTAAGCTTTAATCACACATCTAATATTAATCCATTTTAACCTATGTGATTATTATTAATTTATAATATTTCAAAATAAAGATACAAAATAACACAAAAGCTACCATAGAAAAACTTGCATTAAAAGAAAAACTCATTGGGGTTCCTGGGTGACTCAGTAGGTTAAGCATCTGCATTTGGCTCAGGTCATGATCTCAGGATCCTGGGATTGAGCCCCACATCAGGCTCCTTGTTCAGCGGGGAGTCTGTTTCTCCCTCTGTCTCTAACCCTCCTCCCTACTTGTGCTCTCTCACTCTCTCTCTCAAGTAAATAAATATAATCTTAAAAAGAAAAGAAAAACTCACTGATAGTGGTTCCACAGCTTTATTTTGTTTTAGGATCTATTATCTTTGGGAAAGGTAAGTGAGGTAATTACTTCACCAACTGTTTTTAACTACGTAAAAAAAGTGGTATTCTCAAATTATGCAAAAAGGAATAGAGCACAGGAAGTTTTTTGTCACAGGCTATAACATTCCTACAATTGAGAATATAGACAAAATCAGAACAAAGCCAGAAATCATATGGTTTCTAGGGGCTGGTGTTGGGGGAGAAGACTGACTACCAAAGGACACCAGGGAACTTTTGGTAGCAATGGAAGTGTTCTACATCTTGATTTGTTGTGGTTATACAGTTGAATATATTAGTCAAAATTCATTGAACTATAGACCTAAAAAAAACAGACTCTTACTATATGTAAATTATACCTCAGTAAATCTGATTTTTTAAAAAAAGCAAGCCTGTGATGCCTGGTGGCTTAGTGGTTGAGCGTCTGCCTTTGGCTCAGGTTGTGATCTCAGGGTCCTGGGATCGAGTCCCACATCAGGCTCCCCAGATCCCGCATCAGGCTCCCCACAGGGAGCCTGCTTTTCCCTCTGCCTATGTCTCTGCCCCTCTCTCTGTCTCATGAATAAATAAAATTTTAAAATAATAAAGAAAGCTAGCCATGAAGAAATTCTGAGAAGTATTATTTTTTTCAAATTACCAACTGCAACTTGAAATATTTAGACAGATTCTTTTTTTTTAAATTTTATTTATTTATTCATGAGAAACACAGAAAGAGAGGCAGAGACACAGGCAGAGGGAGGAGAAGCAGACTCCATGCAAGGAACCCGATGTGGGACTCAATCCCAGGAATCCAGGATCAAGCCCTGTGCCAAAGGCAGACAGACACTCAACCGCTGACCCACCCAGGCGTCCCAGTTAGATAGATTCTTGTTCTTTAAAAGCTAAGATTTTGCGGGGCACTTCAGTGGCTCAGTAAGTTGAACATCCAACTTTTGATTTCAGCTGAGGTCATGCTCTCTCAGGGTCATGAGATTGAGCTGCACATTGGGCTCCACGCTGGATATGGAGTCTGCTTAAGGTTCTTTCTCTCCCCCTCCCTCTGCCCCTTCTCTCCCTCTCTTTCTAATATAAATAAAAGCTAAGATTTCTCTATGTATAGTAATCAAGATACTGTTAAAATGATATGTATATTGATAATTCCTTTTTCCTTAATATTTCTCACCAGAGGTTTCTCTTATTTGTTTTATAGGGTCCACATATAGCTTCAGTTACATTAGCTGCTTATGAATGCAATTCAGTTAATTTCCCTGAACCACCCTATCCTGACCAGATTATTTGTCCAGATGAAGATGGCATTGAAGGAACCATTTCTTTATGGAGCATCATCTCAAAAGTTAGAATTGAGGCCTGCATGTGGGTAAGATGTCTGTTTTCATCTTTGTCTAAAATTAACCTCACTATCTTGATACTTTGTTGTACTTCATTGAAATTGAGTCCAGATATATATCCACATAGCAAGTCAGTAGATAATTCATGAAGTCACCAATTATCTGCTTCCAGGTAAGAGAAACCCTTTACAGCTTCCCCTATTCATGAAGAACATTCATAAGGAAGGCATGAAGCCATAGGTACCACAAAGCAAGGGGTGCCAAGTAGACAACAGGAAGAAAAAGGAGTACAGATAATGCAACTATACTACTTTGCAAAATTTTACCAATGTTTGTATATTTGACAAACACATAGCAAGTGGCTATATCTCAGTCCCAGATTGGTAAACATTTTATGTCTCTCTCCTATACTCAGATACTCTGTGTTTATTCTTAGGAGGATTATTTCATTTTCTGAGTTAATAATACTAAAGTAAGGTCAGATATTTCTTAATAAACCAAATTTTACTATAGTGGAGATATCAGACTATATGGTGATCTTTTAGTTGTACCAGTTATTCTTTTTATGGTTTGCTTAAATATATTTTGGGAAGCTTTTGGACTGTATGTTCAGTGGCAGATTATTTTAATCCTTACAAAGCATTCTTTTCTTTTTTCTTTATGCCTATATTCATTCAAATGTGCATCATTGAGAAATAGTTCCTATGCTAAAAACTTTCTTTTATCATTTGGACTCATTTAGTTATATGTTCCTGGTAACTTTTTTCCCCTAACAGTGTCTTATAAAGTAAAACATATGAAACAGATCACTTAAAAATCTTAACTAAAATGAGCATGAATATCATACCCACAGAAGAGGAAGATTTTTCAAATATATTTATTTAAATGTTAGTAAGTATGTTTGATGTGGTTTTTTTTTTCAAACTATTGTCTTTGATTTTATTTTTTTATTTATTTTTATTTTTATTTTTTTAGAATTTTTTTAAGATTTTTATTTATTTATTCATAGAGACAGAGAGAGAGAGAGAGGCAGAGACACAGGCAGAGGGAAAAGCAGCTCCATGCAGGGAGCCTGATGTGGGACTCAATCCCGGGTCTCCAGGATCACACCCCGGGCTGCAGGCGGCGCTAAACTGCTGTGCCACCGGGGCTGCCCTGTCTTTGATTTTATTTTATTTATTTATTTATTTTTTTAAATTTTTATTTATTTATGATAGTCACACAGAGAGAGAGAGAGGCAGAGAACAGGCAGAGGGAGAAGCAGGCTCCATGCACCGGGAGCCCAATGTGAGATTCGATCCTGGGTCTCCAGGATCGCGCCCTGGGCCAAAGGCAGGTGCCAAACCGCTGCGCCACCCAGGGATCCCTGTCTTTGATTTTAATATAAGTTATTTGTCTGTTGTAGTATATATACTATAACCTAATATGTTTGTTTTAAAAGAATTATAAGGAAAATGCCATATGTTGAATTTGTTGAATGTGAAAGACAGGAAAAATTGTTGTATTTCCTGTTACTCTTTTATAAACACTGGAAACAAGATCATTGTACTAGCTGTGTATGTTTTATAAATTTAACCATTAATCTTTTGATGAAAAATTATTTAAATAACAAAAGATACTTGGATCATGCTAGAAAGAAATCATGTATATAGATTTTTGTTTTCTATTTTCCTTCTGTTATTTCACAAATGATTTACATGGCTGGATTAACGCTAATGCCAACAAAGAAAAGCTTCCATTGGAGCTGGCAGTGATAATTGCCTCCTCCAGCTCCCATAGTTCATATTGTCTGAAGAGCTCATTTGGCCTGGCTCCATGCACGCCTAAAATTAGTTAACTTGGCTGGTGTAGCAGCTTGTTTTCCCAAACAAATTTTAAGCTGCTAAAAAATATAGATTGTTCCTTAAATTTATTATCCTCACAACAATCAGCATTAGGCTTTGCACATAGTACAAGAATGTTGATAAATATTAATTGGCTGAGTGCTCCTCATACTTCCTTTTTTGAAAGTATTTTTTGTGATGTATAAAGTATAGCACATATCAAGTTATGTTTAAATTGGTTCCTTTTATTCTCAACGTTTAGATAGATAGTCCTTTCAACAAAAGGTATTGGGAAAACAATATTCACATGCAAAAGAATGAATTTGCGTCCTTACCTTGTGCCTTACATAAAAATTAAAATGCGTCGAAGACCTAAACTTATGAACTAAAACTATAAAACTCTTAGAGGAAAATGTAGAGACAAATCTGTGTGATGTCACATTTAGCAGTGGTTTCTTAAATATGACCCCAAAAGCATAGGCAACAAGAAAAAAAAATAGATAAATTGAACTTCACTAAAATTAAAATATCTTATACATCAAAGGACATTAATAAGAGAGTGAAAAGACAACCCTACAGAATAGGAGAAGATGTTCATAAATCATATATCTGATAAACATTTAATATCCAAAATCTTTGAAGGACTTCTGCAACTCAACAACAAAAGATAACCCGATTTTTAAAATGAGCAAAGAAGTTGAGTAGACTTTTCTCCAAAGAAGATATACAAATGGCCAGTAAGTGTACAGATTGTCAGCATCATTTAGTCATTGGGGAAGTGCAAATCCAAACCACAAAGAAATATCCCTTTACACACATTAGGATGGCTGTTATTTCTTTAAAAAGAAAACAAGTGTTAGGATGTGGAGAGATTGGAACTCTCGTAGATTGTTGGGGAGAATGTAAAGTGATTCAGCTGCTGGAGAAAAGAGTTGAGTGGAATTTCAAAAATTTAAAACATAGATTTACCATTTGACCCTCCTCTAATTCTGTTCCTACATAGATACCCACAAAGAACTGAAAACTAGGACTCAAGTATAATAAGTATAGATACTTGTACTTCACTTTCATCAGCATTATTCACATTTTCAGAAAGGTGGAAACAACACAGTGTCCCTCAGCAGACAAATGGGTAAACAAAATGTAGGTGATCATCCACTGCCAAGGCCTGGCCAGGGGCTGCTTTCTGCTGCTTGGGCATCTTGTCCAAAGCTAAGGCCTTAGGCTTGGTCTCTTCCAGGTTACATGGCACTCAGTTTCTGAATGCCTATAGGAAGGAGCTCTTTGACAAGACCAAAGAACACCACTTCTTACATAGCCTGGCTTTGTTAGGGGTGCCCCATTGCAGAAAGGCCCTCTGGGCCAGGATACTGCTAGCCTCTGGAAGTACCTTATTCTGCAACAGCTTTTACTGCCAGGCTCAAAGTGGAGACCCCAGCATCCAGACTTGGGCTTCTGTGGGAAGGAGCCTGCTAATTTTGGTCTGGCTTGCTTTGAATCTTTGAGCTTCCTTGTATTTGATGTCTAGGTACTTCTCTGACAGTTGGAGCAGGGAGGGAAGGGAATTAAAAGAGAAAGGAAAAAAGAAGGTAGTATATACATATAATTGAATATTACTCATCCATAAAAAGGAATAGAGTTTTGGGCAGCCTGGGCGGCTCAGCAGTTTAGCACCGCCTTCAGCCCAGGGCCTGATCCTGGGGACCTGAGATCAAGTCCCACGTTGGGCTTCCTGCATGGTGGCTGCTTCTCCCTCTGCCTGTGTCTCTGCCTCTCTCTCTCTCTCTCTCTCTCTCTTTCTCTCTGTGTCTCTCATGAATAAATTTTAAAAATCTTTAAAAAAATGGAATAGAGTTTTGATTTGTGCTATAATATGGATGAACCTTGAAAACATTATGTTAAATGAAATAAGCCATTACATAGAAAGACAGATATTATATGATTCCACTTATGTGAATTGTATAGAAGAGTGAAATTCATAGAGACAAGAAGTAGATTTGATGTTACCAGAGTTGTGGGAATGAGAAGTTAATGCTTAAGAGGTGCAGAGTTTATGTTTGGGTGATGAAAAATACTGTAAATAATAATAATGATGGCTACACAATATTGTGAATGCAGTTAATGCCACTTAGTTTTATATTTTAAAATGGTTAAATGGAACCCAGTCATAAAAAAGCTCATGCTACTGAGGTTGAGAAACCTAATTAGAATGTGTGGGTCTTAATTCTTGTACTTTACCCTTCTATAAATGTGATCCCATTTATGTTCATATTCAACTGTTTTTTTAAGAGAATGTCTTGCTTGATTTAAAATTTATATCTTATTTGAAATTTTTATCTAATTTGTACTTACTAGCAAAGTAAAATGTCTTTACAGACTTCACTGTCATTATAAATGTACTGAATCAGTAAAATTGTTAAAATATGAAGTACTTCCAATGATAAGATAAAAGACTTGGGTTAACCCTCAGTTTGAACTTATTCCTATGGGTCTTTGAAACAAGCTGAAATGAATTGTTTGATATTGCTGATCATTAGTTACTTTTTTTCATTTGCATCTTTTGATCTTCCCCAGTTTAGATGTATCACCAATGCATGGCTTCACAGATTTTTTTACTCTTGAATTCCAATAACAGTTATTATGTATCCAAGCACCTTAGATTCAGAGTGAACAGAACAGTTTCTATCCTCACAGAGTTTTACGTTCTAGTGAGGGAAATAATTATGAAAAAAATGTATAATTGAGTATCATGGGAAAATTATATATACAAATATGAAGGAGAATACTGTATAACAAAAATTTCCCCTAGTGTGTGATTCAGGGAGGATTTCCATGAAGAAGCAGTGTATCAGTTCAGATCTAGGAATGATAAGGAGTAAAGCGGGACAGCAGGACAGGGGAGAAAAAGAGCATGTGTGTTGACTTTTAGATAAAAAGCATCACCTTTTAAGATTATTATTTGTTAAGTTCATGGTTAGAGGATATTTATTGTGGTAAAATATACATAATGAAAAAAAATAAAAAATATATACATAATGTAAGTTTTACCATTTTAACCATTTTTAAAAAGATTTATTTATTCTAGAACAAGGGATGGTGAGACTAATCTGTATTCTACTTTCTGCCTCTTTGAATATGTCTAATCTTAGACACCCCATCTAAATGGAATCACATAACACTTGTTTTCCATGTCTGGGTTATTTAACTCAGTGTAATGTGTTCAGGTTTTATCCATGCTGTAGCATTTGTCAGAATTTTATTCCCTCCTGAAGCCATTTTAAAATGACCTCAAGGGAAACTGGAAGCAAATTTTCTGTTTTATTTGCAAAACAGTCTTGATAATTCTACTAGAATTGGTAAAATAGTTTTTTTAAAACATTGCTGTGTAAGAGCCCTGAATTTCTCAATGGTTTCAAGCTTACCCCCCTAACTTCTGCTTTTAACTTCTGATTTATGTTTGTACTTGGAATATGTTTTGTTTTTAAAAATTATTAATACACAGATTATACAAAACTACCGTAATTTCTGAGAGTCAGCATATATATAATTTTCTGCTTTCCATATTTGTATTATTAAACTTATGATTCCCAATGTAGAAAAGCAAAACACTGCTGATTTAATTGTGAATCCACTTGACAAAACTTTTTAAAAGGATAAAAATTCACGATTTTTCTCCTCCCCCAAATCTTTGAATAAAATTGGCACTTGAAGAAGATATTTCCCTCTTGCTTTTGCATGTTTGTGCACGTTAAACTCTTCTCCAATTCAAGAAGCAGAGATTTCAGGGTAATCAATTGATACAGAGCACATGGCTTTAAGAAGAGCATTCTAAATTATCGTTTGACTAAAAACCACTTGCCTCTTTGTTTTGCAATAAGGAAGCCAGATATTTCTTCCCCTTAATTAAACCTAGGCTGGCAGTTTTTAGTGTTCCACAGTTCTGTTTTGGCTTTTTGTTATGATTTTGCAAGAATTATAAAATTGTTTTGTAAGAATCATGAAATTATGGGACTTCAGTTTCTGAGATAACTGATTAAAGAAACTTTTATTTCTAGGATATAATGTGTTTTGGGGAACCTGTCTAGATGACTATATTTCTTTTATTTATTTGCATAAAAAAACAAGTATTATGATCATTCTTGTTCTTGATAATGTGAGAAAACATGAACAGAATTAAACCGTAACAATAAATATGGTCAACCGAGCTGCATAAGATAGTATGCAGCTCTTGATTTTATTTCAATCTATTATTACTTCCTTTTTAATTTTAAGGAAACTCGTCATGAGTTTGTTTTCTTTTTTTTCGTCATGAGTTTGAATCATATGATTGCCTTCAGAACTATTGAACATTTGAGTTAACAGGTTTTAAGAGAAGTTCATGTTTTGAATAAAATGTTGCAATTAACTTTTCTTCCTATTTTTTGTAATGGGAAAAAATTAAGTATAGAGAATTATATAATTAATCTAATAATCTCACCCAACCTCAGCTAATATTAATTCCTGGCTAGTATTGATTATCTATATCCTTTGTCACTTGGTTGTCAATTATCTTGAAGCATATCATATATACCATGTCACATTTCATCTGTAAATGTATCAACCTTAGACTTAAAAAACATTATCACACCCAAGAGAAATTAGGAATAGTCTTTTCAAATCCATTACTCCATTAATGTTCAGGTTTTTTTATTGCGTTTATTTCCTTGTTTTTCATTGCGTTTATTTCCTTGTTTTTCATTTCAAATTTGTTTGTTATTGATACTGGGTTGTTTGTCAAATATAGTTTCCCACCATCTGGATTTTACTGATTGTATCCCAATTGGTGTAGTTCAAATACATAAAAAAGTTCTGTTCTCTTTGTTTCCTGGGAGTTGATAGATTAGAGGCTTGAAAAAAATTTTTTTTTACAAAAATACACTTCATAGTCTTGTGTATTTCTACCACAAGGTATAATAATGTCTGATTGTCTTTCTTTTTGTGACATTAGCACCATTGTTACACAAGTCCATTGTTTTATTAGGGGTTATAAACTGGGGGTATTCCAACCACATCAGAAATATTCTGACTAGGGACACCTGGGTGGCTCAGCAGTTGACCGTCACCTTTGGCTCAGGGCATGATCCTGGAGTCCCAGGATCAAGTCCCACTCCAGGCTTCCTGCATGCAACCTGCTTCTCCCTCTGCCTGTGTCTCTGCCTTTCTCTCTCTCTCTCTCACTCTATCTTTCTGTGTGTGTGTCTGTCATGAATAAATAAATATTTTTTTAAAATATTCTGACTAGAATATTTTTATAAAGAAAAACTTCTTTTCACCAATTTGGTTACTCTGAGATATCTTTCATATAGGTAAGACAGGATAAGTAATGGATTCTTGCCTTTATCTGTTTTTTAATTTTTATTTACTTATGTTTATTTTTTAAAGATTTTATTTATTTATTCATGAGAGACAGAGAGAAAGCGAGAGGCAGAGACACAGGTAGAGGGAGAAGCAAGCTCCATGAAGGAAGCCTGATGTGCGACTCAATCCCGGGACCCTGGGATCATGCCCCAAGCCAAAGGCAGACGCTCAACTGCTGAGCCACCCAGGCGTCCCTTTACCTGTTTTTTTAAATAATAAATTGTTCTCTCATATTCTCCAAAGTTGACTAATGTTAACTTTTTTTTGTTTAGTAAATATGATTTGTGTATTATTCATATGTCCTTCAATGTATATGTCTCTCCTTCCTCTCATCTCTCTCTCTCTCTATTAAGTATAGCCGATTCTTTTGGCGCTGAAGGATATTCTTTTTCAGAACTCTTGCTTCACATATGGATAATGAAGTTTCATATGGAGATTGTTGATTCCACGTGTAAAAATATAGCACAAAATGTTAGAATTTGATAATGTTCTTTGGGGATTCTCTTCAAGGCATTTGAGGACATAGTTATAGTACAGAGAAAATAGACCTAAAATTGCTGCTGAGAACTACGAAAGCTTTTTCATTCACTATGACTCAAGGCAGAGAAGGATGGTTCAAATTTGTGAATTTTCCTGGAGACTGTGTACCTTTTACATTATTATCTATCTTGTATTTAAGCCTTTTAAGTCCAAATCAAGTTCCTGATTCTCTTACCTTGTTTTCATCCTTATGTCCTGAGTTGATTGAAAAAAAATTCTCTTCAAAAACAAGAATCCACAAAGTGACTGAAACATGAGTCACTCAATGTCCTGAGGAAATAAACACTTTTTCCTGTGGTGAAAATTTATCTGTCCTAATGTTGAGTTTTCAAGGGGCTTCCTGACCATGATTTGTTAAAAGTTTTAACTCTGCACAAAAGAAAGTTGTATTGAGATTAAAGCAACACCCTAAACACCAGAAGATTTTCCAGAAAAAAAATTTTTATTTTTTATTTTTTTTGAAAAAAAATTTTTTTAATATTTTATCTAACAGTTCTATTAGTGAATACTCATTACCAAATCATTTGAAAATTTGAAAAGAGGAAAATTGGCAGAAATAACAGTATAAGTAGAGATGCTAGAGAACTAACATATAGTGTTTGCAATGCACCAGATATTATCTAAGATTTTAATGTATATTACCTTGTCTGACATTGCATAGATCAATATAAGGGCCAGGATTCACACTTATGTTCTCTTGATTATGTAGTATATGCTTTCCTCCCTAACACATACATCTTACCATGCTTTTGGTGATGTAGAAAAATATAGATTTGTTCTGTGTAGTGTCATTGTGTTGGCAACAGAATCTCATGTGAATATTTTGTTTTTTTTCACGTAGGGTATTGGTACAGCAATTGGAGAGCTGCCTCCATATTTCATGGCCAGGGCAGCTCGCCTCTCAGGTGCTGAACCAGATGATGAAGAGTATCAGGAATTCGAAGAAATGCTGGAACACGCAGAGACTGCACAAGTAAGAACAGTAGGAAAACAAAAAACACACAGAATACCTGAATTATCCTTAAAGAATTTATGGCTAAGGTGAAATTGTTAATAGTTACTTTGAAGAAGAAAATTAACCAGTGTAAAAATATAAAATACAGGGTTTGGGATAGAATATTCAGAAAAGCTGAAGTATAAAAGTGATTATAATCTTGATTTTAGAATAGAGAGATACAGAAAGTCCACAAGACACCTCACATTAAGCTGAAACACCTGGCCAGAAAGTAGGGTAAGTTGATGTTGCCAATGAAGTTAAGGAACTGACATTTCTTTATCCATTATGTGTTTTTAAGTATTACCAAGCAGACCACTAACAAAATAAAAAGGACAAGTAGATGGGTCAGGTTATGAGTCCAAAATAGTAGAACTTGTAAATTAAGTTTTTGAGAATAACATCAAAATAGTTTGCCATGTTAGGGCAGCCCGGGTGGCTCAGCGGTTTAGCACCGCCTTCAGCCCAGGGCGTGATCCTGTAGACCCAAGATCGAGTCCCACGTCAGGCTTCCTGCATGGAACCTGCTTATTCCTCTGCCTGTGTCTCTCATGAATAAATAAATAAAATCTTAAAAAAAAAAAAGTTTGCCATGTTAGAGGAAATTATTTGGAATTACTAATTAAGAAAGGACAATTACAAGGTCAGCTCAGTTGATAGAACATGCATCTCTTGATCTCAGGGTCATGAGTTCAGGCCCATGTTGAGAGTAAAGATTACTTTAAAAAAAAAAAAAAGATTTTTGGGACACCAGGTTGGCTCAGTCAGTAGAGACTGTGATTCTTGATCTTGGGGTCATCAATTTGAGCCCCACATTGGGCATAGAAATTAACTTTTAAAAAAATTGAGCAACTTGAGTGGCTCAGTCAGTTGGGCATCTGCCTTCGGCTTGAGTCATAATCCCACGGTCCTGGGATAGAGCCCTGTATTGTGTGTGTGTGTGTAAGTATATTATTAAGAAAGAAAGGACAATATAATAAACTAATCCTTTAACAGTGAGGGGGAAGAAAGGCTGTGGCTTTTATACCTGAATATAAACTATGTATCAACTTGTATCTTAATGTTATAAAATAGGTATTTTATTCTTTGTAGGAAAATTACTAAGAATATTATTAACTGATTGAGTCTCCATCTTAGGAATGATAGTAGAAATCAACATAGTCAAAAATAAAAAGGATATAAAAGAGATTTTTGAAATATTATATATAAAATAGATCTCCCTTTCCAGTGAAATGAAATGGAAAAGTTGTCTTACTGGGATGCCTGGGTGGCTCAGCAGTTGAGCCATCTGCCTTAGGCTCAGGGCATGATCCCAGAGTTCCAGGATCAAGTCCCATGTCAGGCTCCCTGCAAGGAGCCTGCTTCTCCCTCTGTCTATGTCTCTGCCTTCTCTCTGTTTCTCTCATAAATAAATAAATAAATAAATAAATAAATAAATAAATAAATAAATAAATAAATAAAGTCTTAAAAAATAATAATAATAATTTGTGAAAAGTTGTCTTACTGTTTTGTGTTTTTAAGTGTGTGTACCCATGTGAGCAGACACACATTTTTATTAGGAATGAGTTCATAGTTTTCTTCTGAGTGGAACCTGAGGCTCAAAAAAACCATTACCCTTGAGGGGGAAGAAAATATATATTTTAATGACAGATGGGCTTTTTAAAAAGGCATTATGAGGGACAGCCCGGGTGGCTCAGCGGTTTAGCGCCACCTTCAGCCCAGGGTGTGATCTAGAGACCTGGGATTGAGTTCCACATCAGGATCTCTGCATGGAGCCTGCTTCTCCCTCTGCCTGTATCTCTGCCTCTCTCTCTCTCTCTCTCTCTGTCTCTCATGAAAAAATAAATAAAATCTTAAAAAAAAGAAAAGTTTCAAATATAAATATAGAATAGCCAAATAACCAAACATAAAACAAATGAATCAGAGAGATTTGAGCATCTGCTCTGTGTAGAAAGAGACAAGTTGGCCTTGGTATTTGCTTTGCCTTATCTATCAACCAGGTATTATGTCTCTTTTCCTCACAACATAAGACTTATATTAATGCTAATAGTTGTTACTAATATAAAACAATTTTTAAATTATCCAATTTAAAATTATCCAATTTTCCAATTATCCAATTTTTCAATTATCCAATTTTTAAATTATTTAAAAATTTTAATTTTTAAAATCCAATATCTAATTTAACCCTTATATGGAAAGGTACCTTTCTTCTAATTTTATTGAAAACTTCAGATCTAGAAGTTGTTACCTCCCTAATTTTACACACTTAGAAGTAGAGCTAGAACCAGAACTCAGAATACCAATGGCTACTGAAACCATGTTCATCTGTAGACTAAATGGCTAAGTATCTTCAGTAGTAACAACTGATACATCTGGAATTGTGGCAATAATAATGTATGTCATTTAACATCTCAAAAACTCCTCTTTCCATCTATATTAAATGAGCAAACTGAAAGTAAAATAAGTCTAGGATCCTTGCAGTTTAAAATTTTTATGCTATGGATTGGATGCCAAATAGGCATAAGTGTTGTTTTCTGTTAAGTCAACTAATATACTATTTTTGTTTTCCTTTTTTTTTAACTTTTTGTTTTGGAATTAACAGTTTTTCATTTGCATAGTTTTTTCAATTTCTTCTCTCCGTTCTACCAGCTCTGCAAACCACTTTGTTTCTTTCTTTCTTTTTTTAAAAAAATATTTTATTTATTTATTCATGAGAGACACAGAGAGAGAGGCAGAGACATAGGCAGAGGGAGAAGCAGGCTCCATCCAGGGAGCCTGATGTGGGACTCAATCCCGGGACTCCAGGATCACACCCTGAGCCAAAGGCAGACGCTCAACCACTGAGCCACCAGACGTCCCTGCAAAACACCTTTCATTGTCACTTTCCACTTGGGGAAACCTATAAAATATTATCAGTTCTGTCTTCTTTCTTGGGAGTACTCACTCAGGAGCTAGCGCCCTGCACACACACTGCAATCTGGACTGTATTCTCTTGGATTCCCTTTGCACAGTTACTGCTTTTACAGTTTGGATCTCTTGTCTTCTTTCTTTTGTTTTTGCTCTTTTTTCCTTTCTTTTTTTTTTCTTTTTTTCTTTTTTTGTAATTTCTACTCCCAACATGAGGCTCAACCTCACGGCCAAGAGTTGCAGACTCTTCCAAGTGAACCAGCCAGGTGCCACTTGTTTTCTTCTTTCTTAATTTACTCCCTCATTTTGGTTGAACACATTCTACCATAGCTTCCTGAGAAAGATTGAGTCGATGGAAATTCTGAAAATACTGTGTCCTTTACTCACACTTAATAACTGAATGTAGTATTCTAAGTTGAAAATCATTGTTTTAACTTAGAATTTGGAAGTCATTGCTCAATTATCTTTAGACCTCTGATGTTGATATTATTGGAGCTAATGCATCCTGACTCTTCTTCATAGATAGTCTTTTTAGGTTATTTTATTTTCTTCTCTATATACTGTTAGATTCATTATCTGAGGTATGGGTCTTTAAAATTTTAAATTTTAAAGTTTTATTCTAAGCACTCAGAAGCTTGTCAATCTAGAGTCCATTTGTTTGGGGAAATGTTCTTGTATTTTTTCCTGTGTCTGTTCACCTTTTTAGTCTCTATTTTTGCTTTCTGTAATTCTCATTATTTTGGTGTTGGGCCTCCAACATTCATCCTTTTAAAATTTTTTGATAATTTTGCTTCTAATATTTATCACATTCTACTTTACATGCACGGTCTTTATCTTTTAACTCTAATATTAAAATGGTTTTCCACTGTCATATTTATTTTCAAAAAGTAATTTTCACTATATTTCCAAGAAATGATTTCTTGTCTTTTTTTAAGATTTATTAATTTGTTTTTGAGAGAGAGAGCATGCATGAGTATGAGCACTGAGGGGAGGGGCAGAGGGAAAATGAGAGAGAATCTCAAGCAGACTCTGCTGAGCATGGAGTCCAACTCAGAACCCTGAGATCATGACTTGAGCCAAAATCAAGAGTCAGACACTTAACTGACTGAGCTACCTGGGCACCCCAGTTTCTTTTGTTTTTAAAGATACCCCAGTTTCTTTGGTTTCTTCGTTTTTTTTTTTGTTACTCCAGGCATTGTTTCTGTTTTTTCCTTTGTTCTGCTTCCTGTTGGAAGCTTTCCTCCAACCTGTGATCCTTATTTTTCTGTTTATATGTAAGAATAAGGCACTTAAGAGTTGAATGGAAGCTATGTGTGTGGAAGCAAGTTGTAGGAGTGGCAGGCCATCTTATTTATTGGAACCTCCACATATCAGTTTCTGTGGCTCTTTCATTTGGGATAGTTCATTTTCTCTAGTGATGGACTCTCCGATTTTTTGCTTGGGGAATATAAACTTTGTCGCTAACATTGTAAAACGAGGCTATAGAAGTGGGGTTAAAGATGACCATTTACCATATAGACTTACCATTTAACTCGTTAGTGTTCAGTCTAGATACCTACACAAACATGTCCTGAGCCCAAAACCTTTTGGTTCACTTTATCTAGAGACTATACTTGATGTCTTTTATGGGACTAGGAGGAATTATCTGTCTGTGCTAAGTAGTGAGGGGACCTGGGAGTCTACTTATACAGTCTCCTTGGGGACTCAGTTGGTTGAAATGTCTGACTATTGATTTTGGCTGAGATCACAAGCTCAGGATCATAAGATTGAGCCCTGCATCAGGCTCCACACTTAGCAAGGAATCTGCTTTTCTCTCTCTCCCTCAGCCCCTCTCACCAATGGCGCTCCCTCACTAAAATAAATAATCTTAAAAAAAAAAAAAAATACAGTCTCTCTGGTTTTAGTCCTACCTCAGCCTCTCCTGCATTTCAGCCGAAAATCCTTTTTGGAGTTATGTAATATGAATCACTTTGCTTCTCTTTCAAATCCTTCACTGTAGGTTCTCAGGTATAATATTTTTTCCATCTTTCCTTACCTTCATTAATGTTCATTTCATCAAAGACAGAGTTCAT